GAACCCACTCATGTCCTGCATTCTGGGTCTGCTGCAATAAAGCTTCTCAGCATTTGTAGAACCAGGATCCCAGAAGCTATTTTCCAGTTAAACCTGTAAACTTTTATATAAGCACTTTTATATGAGCTTGTGGGGGGAAAAAGGAATATATGTGAAAACTAAGACTGTTAGGTGCATCACATGCAATAAATCAATCTGTATTTTCAGGTGTTGACATGGTTGGGGTTGCTCCATTTTATAACACAAGCACTCTTGCATGCATCAATGGATTCAGGTAGTTTAGGGAGGTGGTCATAATGATAAGCCTAATTATAGTTTGTGCACAGCAGCTAAACTGTTGTTCTGTCAAACACAATCAGAGTTATTAAAAATGATAAAACCCCACCTACAAATAATCCGAGCCACCTGCAGCAGCGATCCAGGGTTGCCCCCCGCTGCTTTCTTTGGGCAGGATGACACTGAAGAACAACCTCATGGTGCAGAGCTAGCAGCAGCATCGTAGCACCTACCAGCAGACCCCCTGTCAACAGGGCAGGTGGTGCTTTGATGAGGAGACCACTGCGACAGCGAGTGTGAAAACAAGTCACTGCAATGTCAAATTACATCTGTGGTCAATTTTTTAAGGCCATATTTAAAGCAACCTGATTATTCCAGCTCTCACCTTGGATTTCTGGGGCTAACTCAGAGCGCTGGTGAACATGCAGATTACACATTCTGAAGCGCTCCATCCTCATTGTTTCTTATGTGCTCTCTCGGCCCTACAGCTGGAGCTTAGCCATGGACACATCCACCCACTCCGTGTTTAGTCTTTTGTCCTCTTTGAGCATGTTTTTAAATGTCATCATGATGACAAGCAATGTTGTGAGTGCAGAGGAGAGCAGGCCGGCTGCCGCCTTTGTGTTTCAGGCTCCTCAATGGGACAGACAGGCGTGCACACCAACACGCCGCCATCTCACCGACACTCAGGCATTCATTCTCAGCCTCACACTCTCCTCATTGTCTCTCTTCCTTCTCTCTCTCTTGCACTCACAACACACCACTGGCAGGATTAGCATAGTAATGTGCCATGTTGCATCACACTGACTGGAATCAATTACAGCCGGTCATCCAGTGTCTATAGCAGAAGACATTTACACTAGTCTGCTGTTTGTTAATCATGTCCAACAGGAATTTATCTTTAGACCCCTTCAGTCTGCATTTTAGAAAGAAAAGACAGAGGGGTAACATGAAAGCCATCAACATGGGAATTACTTTAAATGTCAAGTGTAATAAATGTCCAAAAAAGGAATTTGTCTCAGAAGCTGGAGCATAAAGATTTTCACTCATTCACTGGTGTCCTGGTATGAACACCCAGTAGTCATTTTCAACAGTGCATATTTTCTGAATGCACCTTTTTACATGTCTGGTGCATCTGTAGTATCTTGTAGTGCCAGTTCAAACCTTCTGAACTGTTGCCTATTGTTATCATATTTAAACCATAAACATGGGATTTTCAGTTTCAAAACCTGTTTGTTGGTCTATTATCTGAAATTCCAATAAAATACAATGAAGTTTGTGGCACCTACATAAAAAAATGCAAACTTTTTTAGCTGGTATGAATATTTTAAGGCACCCTATATGTAATATTTCTTTATGATATTATGTTGTTTTTTTTTTGTTTTTTTTCTGTTTCTCAAGTTCAGCTGCTTTAGAATTGAAGGCCGTAAGAGAATAATATATTCATAGCATTGCTTAAATAAGATTGTGCACAGATTTCACTGCATCTGTTTGCAGGCAACACTGTTTCCACACTATCTACCCAGAATGCATTAGGTATTCACCTTCCTTAGATAGAGTACAGTTTCTTCTTGCACACGTGTGCACGAATCCACGAGTCTGTCTAGCTCATCAGATTGCATCTACTTACACTTAACTCCCCAGACAGCAGGGTCTATTTGCCTGTGTCTGACTGCACGTCTGCCGCCGCCAACGTTGTGCAAGTTTTGACCTCAATTCATACCGAACTTCATATTACGGAGTCTGCCGCTGCAGCTACAGCAAGGATTGTTCTAGAATGAGTAATCAGAACTTTTCCTGGTTGGAGATTGCGGCTGCATTGTCATTCCATCTATGTGGCATCGTAACCTTTAAATGGAATCCCTGTCTGATCATAACGGCACGCGTCAGTCAGGGGCGTCGAAGAGCTCATCTGACATTTGTTCTTTTAGTCAGGAATTGATCAGAACAGATTTTACCTCAGAGGGAACCTCACAGGAGACAAAGCGGCTGAAATATCAGCTGCAGCACCGACATGTGAGCATCATCTCATGGAGAGCACGTAAAAAACAACTCACTGCACTCGACGTGGGAAACTTTATGAAGAAAATCCTTTTGCACTGAAGTGTTTTGATGACAGAAACAGAGCACTTTAGGAACATTCAGAGTACTTGTAATTATTAAGTGGAACTACACAAAATTTCAGCTTTCTGCTTTAGATTTTCCACTCAGTTTGCCAGATTTCAACCTCTTTAGTAAAGAATCACAGCCTTTACAAAGATTACATAGATACTTCACAGATGCTGCACAAATAATTGATGAGCAAACAGGCTTTATCAGTATATTGGTAAGTTTGAATTTGCAGTTACCCTGGCAACCTCTTCTCTCGGGATCTGCACAGACATAAAACCTTTTACCCACTAAGGTGACGAGAAGTGTTATGTGAAAATTTTAGAAGTACAGAAAAATGAAGATGTTAGTGGAGCAGAGCAAGTTTCAGAACTTTCAGAACATCATGTTCATTGGTCTAACTAGGTTTTTATATGAGTATAGTTTAATTTGTTGTTCCTGCTTTTTCTTCAAAAAAGATCTTTGTGTTTTTTCATTAAACTGTCCTAAAAAAAAACAACAAACTTTTGTTTTGTCACCAACATCCAATTTGACTCAACTTATAGTTTGAGCTAATTAATATTAAATACGCTTGATTGATCCCAGAAAAATAAATAAATAAAAATAAAATAAAATAGCTTTTGACACTATAAAACCAGATGTATTGCATTTCCTGTGCCTTTGACCAATTAAGAAAAGCCCAGATATTTATGTCATGACTTTGTAAGCTTCTGCTTGGATCAATTAAAGGGGAGATATAAAGAATTAAAATTTCTATTTTGTTCTTTATATATGTTTTATGTTATTAACTCATCAATAATATACCTTGAGGGTCGCTTTGGTTTTTTTCCTGCATGTGTGACAAATCCTTGAATCTCCCCTGGCGGCCATTCAGGCGCCTGCAGCAACAATTAGCAAAAATCTGGTGGTTTGCTAATTCCAGCGGATGCACAGTTCCACCAGGTTCATCCGCTGACCTGAACATACCGACCATTTCTCAGTCCAATGCTCCGGTTGTAAATGGTATAATGAGAAGCATTGTTGTGACATGCTGAAGGCAGAGAGTCTGAAAGAGTAGAAGCTTCTTAAAGAGACAGACACCAGTTTCCAGGCATCAAACTGTGAAGTTAAATTTCTGTTTATTAATGTTGGAATATATATATATATATATACCCGCATTTTTATAAAACTCAAGGTAACAGAGTTAATTGACTTTACTATGTTCCTGGGAAATACATAACACCACCACTGTAATACTCTGGAGGCACATCTGTTTGAGTTTTGTAAAATTTCACCCCAAAAACACTGTTTGCAAAAATGTCCTGTGTCATTTTGAGTATTTTTTGAGACAGGTCCTGTAATATGTGTAGAATGTTTGACCCAAGTTTAAAAAACAAATTCCAACCAAAGGCTAAGAAACTTTATGCGAACTTGTGATGATGGATAAGAAACAGTGTAAAAAAAAAGTTGGATTGTTTGGGTCACACAAAACATCAGGTATATTCTGTTTAATGGCAGAGAAAGAAAAAACAAGTTAAATATATTTTTATGCAGTGTAAATGTAAATACCATGTATGAACTATATATGATTATTTAAGTAGATTCTGAAACTTGTGACCTCTCTACATTTTGAAGGACAATGTTGAGCTCCAGCCCAAAGTGTTCCAGTTGAACAGGCAGAACCGTGATGGAGCCAGAGAGGCAGCCTTAGGTGGAATGTGTGCAAGAGAGCATGTGAAGTGTTCATGCAGAGCAGCCTCTCCTGAATAATAAAATAACCTTAAACAATCCATTCATGATTATATTTTAGGGGGTTTTATACTAAAAAAGACATGCCAGTTCTTTTGTTTGCTAGCTTTTACTTTTGGAGTACTGCATTTTGCACTGATGATAAATTCTGTTTCACTGTTTCTCTCCTTTAAACTCACATAAGCAATTTGATTACCTGCAAAAGAACAGTGTGGTGTTCATTTAAACCTTTTGTTTGGAGCTTCTAATTATTTCAGATATAAAAACAATACACAAAAACAAGTGTGAAATCGTACGTTTGTTTAGAATTTGGTTGAATAAAAAGGAAAAAGCAGTATAATAATACAGCTGCAGTCTGGTATAATGTCTGCAAACCGTGGTCAATTTGTTCAATTTCCCTGGCTGTCCCCATAAGCCGGAAGGCATTTGGGTATTAATCTCTAAGTAGTGGCAAGTGTGGCAACAAGACTTAATTCATTTACTTAAGAGCTTTTCACGTGGGGTTTAAAAGTTAATAAGACGATCACTCTGTGGTGTATTTGATTAAACCCTGTTAATTACCCCAGGTATAATGGGCTATTAGCAAAGGCCCGGTTGTAAAAGGGCGAAAGTGAGATTATTGTTTTTATGAGGTACTTTTGGTCCACCTTTCTCAGTGTCAGGATAAGATTGGATATTAGATTAAAGCTGAGATCCTCCTGCAGAGCTACTCATGTTGGAGTCTTTGAGTGGTGTTAAATATGTTCGAGTTAATCACTTTTATTAAGATTTTAGCAGCTTAAACTGATTCGTAACTCATTTAAGCTATTAGGATTTGAGTTAATGCTAGAGAGCAACCACCTTTTAAATTCATAAGATTATAATCTTCATTTTCATTTTTGTTCCAGGCACTTTCTATTTAAAACGGGGACGGGAACCACACCGTTCTTTGGCGCCACAGCTCCCGGTTACACCATGGCAACAGGAACCGTTTACTCCACGCCTGCACGCCCTTTGCCCAGAAACACTCTGTCCAGGGGGGCTTTCAAGTTCAAGAAGTCACCTAAACACTGTTCCTGGAAATGCACTGCCCTGATCGCCGTGGCCGTAGCCGTAGTGCTCTCCATCATTCTCTGCTACTGCATAGGTAAGGCTCAGAGGAGATTACAGCAGCTGTAACATTTGGCAAAAGTTTAAATTTGGTTGCACTGCACGCATGGGAAAGTTTCAGGAAATGTATTTGCCTCCAAGAATCTGACAGCTATTAAAACAGCTTTAAAAGGAAAAAAATCCGAAGGTTGACCTGTTTCCTCCCAAAACTTTAAATGAGTGCGAAGCAGAGTTTTGCTTTAGTCTCAGTCATGGACGCACATCAGGGTCCTTTTTCTTGAGCCCTTCTATCAGATTTAGGACCTTATACAAAAGTATGTACACCCTTAAACATTCTGCACACTTGCAATTTCTGAAAAGTGTAGAACACATGGCATTTACCCCTCAACCCAACTTTTTCCACATGGTATGTGTCTACCCTTTAGCTTACAAAGGGACTTCTTTTGGCTTTCTTTCAGGGATATTTTCTCCTTTCCAGTCGTCCATTAAGACCAAATTTAATAAAGAACAGCTAATAGTTATCCTGTGGAGAGATGATCCCACCTGAGCTGTGGAGTTCTGCATCTCCTCCACAGTCACCATGATTTTCTATGATTAATTCTAACAGGGTCATGGTGGGTTACCACTAACAATCAGTAGTCATTGTATTTTTTTCATTGTAATGGAAAAAATATATATATATTTTGATGAGAGCTGACAGTCACTGGTTGGGATTGTGAGATTTACAAATTCAATGTTTGTTTGTTTTTCCACTGATGGCTCAAGGAGAGCATTGATTGATACCAAAATATTAGAAAATATGACTGCATATAATCACTGTGTCCTTTAACAGAATGATTGCAACCACTTAATGTAACTGTGTGTTGAGTATCCTATTCGACATTGAGTACGATTTAATTTAGAGCAGCTTTCATGTTTTTGGTGTTTTGAATGCAGAGATAAATATGTTGGGGAAAATAGAAAAACAAAATTACATTTTCTTTATAAACTTAAATTTTTCTATGATTAAGGGTAGAAATTTACAATGTTAAAAATAAGACATTTCCTGACATTAAAAAGTCAGAAATGTATAAGAATAATAAAGCCAAGTAAAAAAAGACAGAAATCCTCAAATGTTTACATTGTAAATTTCTGAGATGCACAGCTGGATCATTTTCAAAGGGTGTTTTTTTTAAATCAGATTTCCGATGTCTGAAAATATATTAGTTTAGATATAACACATTTGTGCTTACTATTATAGAATAATATATGTTTTTTTTTAAAGCAAATTTATGACTTTGAGAATATCAGGCTTACAATTGCTGAGCTTTTTGGCAGAAATGATCTACAATGGCCCTGGTACTCTGTCGTAATGCCCCTCTTTAGTTCGCCGTTGAGCTGATTCTATTTACAGATGATGGATTGAAGTTTGTGGTTGCAACATAACAAAACGAGGTATAAATTGCCTTGCAGGGCATTGTTGGTACAGTTTTCGTATCAATTCATGAACAGACTCCTACTAACTGCAATTTTTCACCATCAGAACCCAGTCGACTGTTTCAAATCTGTTTATTTGGAAGAATCAACAAAAAGCCACACACATTCAGCTGCAGCTGAGAGTTTTTGAGGACCCAGTGACGAGGTGCAGTTCTACCTGTCACATGAGTTTATGCAACCAGTATATCTTTTTGTGCCAGAGGCACTGAATTTCAGATTTAGGTGGGGGAATATTATCTGCTTTGGCACTGAACAATTGTCTTCCGGTCAAATGGAACAAATGATTGACATGCCGCTGGGAGTGAATGGAGATGGCATTCCTCCTCCTTGCTGTTCTGCAGCAATTGCAGATGTCGAGATAGGATTCAGAGGAGTTTATCTGACCAAGCCTTCAGTCAGATATGCAGACAATGCATCAGTACATCCTCCAATAAAAAAAAAAAGAAATTGTTGTTGCTTTTCTATTTGACAGGAAGCCGTGCATCATCCCAGTGTTTGTGATCAAAAGCTTCACAGAACAATGCCCCGTTTATGTCCACCTGAGTTTACATTAAAACACCATCTCTGAAGTTCAAACAGGATTGTTTTAGTGAAGTTTTTGAACCAAATTTGTATAAAAAGAAGCAGTTTCCAGAACATGGAATGTAAAGAAGAGACTGATCCACAAAGCCTTTGTTCTACAAGAACTAAAACTGTCCTATGTGGTGAAACAGGAAACGCTTTTATCTCGGTCAGGAGGATAAGATACTCTCCCTTCACTCTCCCTCCTTGGGGCATTATTTCTTACAAGAAAGCGTTTTTCTTCTTTTGCTGTTTTTATAGCATATGTCAAAGCTGACTCCTTGGTAACCTTTGGAATCTTGACCACAGCAATAAACCTGTTACAGATTCATCTTCCCTCATGCCCTCCCTTGTCATCCAAGCCCTTAATCCTTCCACTGTGGCTTTCTGCCTGAGCGGATATATAAGTATTCACCCAGCTTGGAGGCAGAGGAAATGTGACACCGTTGTATAAAGAGAAATATAGCGATGTTGGAGAGATCCTATATAACCAGTGTTTTATTGCTGAACAGAGAGGGGAAGTGCTCCCTTGGAGGAGAGGTCATAAATGTGCTACATCAGTATCGATATTCATAATCCCTTCATTGACTTAACTGGTTTGTTACTTTGTGTGGTTCACACTGTGATACAATGACTAATGTGCTCAGCTTACTGAGGGAAAATCTAACTTTTCCAGCTATTGTTTCAAACTGCTCTTCTATATTTATCCTATATTTATCCATTCACAACATTTTTATTCTTAACAATCTCATAAATCTCTGCAGAGCTATTGGGGTTTGTTTGCAGGGTGTGAATTATACTTATTAATTTAAATACCTGAATCCTCATAATGTGAGACCAGAGCAATAAATGTATTTCATTTATTAAGTCTTACAATAAAGATGCTGGAAATAAGTTCACATATATGATTTAAATAACTGTAAGCATTTAATAATGTTTCATATGAAAAATCAATATTACTATCCATCCACTCATTTTTATTATTAACAAGATTACCCTCTTGTTAATTATCCTCAGAGCAATAACTGTTGTTTTAAAAACGCTTCAACTCTTTAGATTTATTCTTCTGTAAATTTTGCTAAAATAGTTTGAAAAGTTTCTGGATCCTGTTACAAAACCTTCCTTAATAAGTTCTTCTGTTACAGTCATTAATGAAGTAAAAAAAAATACATTTAAAGTTGTTTTAGATGCTGTTACTAGTGCTGCTGGTGTTTCTGTAATGTAGATATTCATGGTTTGTGTCAAAGGCATGGATCCCAATATTCCCAGATTCTTCATGCTCCATGACATACTGAGGTTAAAAGATCAAAAATAAAACGAAGCAACATGTTGGATTCAGGTTAGCTTTCATGTTGCTGCTGAAGCTCCTCCTTAGAGCTCCAGAGTTTTCTCCTCAGTTATTTAATTATTAATTGTAGTAAAAACCTGAGACAGCTTCCACCTGTCTAGATGTTTGCAAATTCACAGAAATTACAGTAGATGTTGTGTTTTTTTCATTTTTAACTCTAAAATATCTCTGCAAAAGGTGATTCTGAGTAGCAGACTGATCACTGGCATACAGCTTCTGTAACAGGTGAAAATCTACCAATATCTGATTTCCAAAAGCACAGAACCTCTGGATCAGTGGTCTCAGCTGATATCCATAACAACCAGTGCTGATCCAATCCCGTTGTCGGATCATTTGCATTTTATATGGAATACAGAATCAAAACTATAAAGGTCATAATTCACACAGTGATTCTAGTCACCTGCCATCTGCAAATATTTTGAGCCAACCTGCAAGAAACATCTTTAAAATGTAACAGAGCAGATTTTTTAATGATAATTACATTCAAATTTTTGTCTAATTACCAGCAATAAGAACATGACCATTTGATAAGTGGATTCTTTTTTAAAGTAAAGATAAAAGATAAAACTCTAAATGTTGAGCCTGAGGGGATCCACTGTGTCTGAAACAAAGATTTTCTTTCTTTGAAAAGATTTTAGGTTGCAGAGCTCTTAATTACTTTTATATCAAAGGTGGAGGTAGAGGAAACTAACAATATGAACTGACAGAAAAATTAAAATCATACTACTAAGCCCACATGAATTAATAGTTACACACAACGTAATAATTTAGTTGTTCTGATTCCTAGAGTCCACAGATTTCTAAAAAACTATGGTTCTGGTTCTGAGAAAGAGCTATTCATCAACTATTCATGAAATGCAATTTTTGAAATGAATTCACAACTACTTAAGGTTGAAAACAGAACAAAGCACACTTTGCATCTGACTTTAGAAAGTGAAATGTTCTTGCAGCAGAATCAGGAGCAACACATCAGATGCTAATATCAGCAGGGCAATCCTTGGCAGGTCTCCATTCCTATTCACTGGAGTTATTTTGGAGAAAGCTTTAAGGACTTAAGGTGAATATTAAACTAAATAAATACAATAATGTTTTTATCTTCCTACTGATTGCATTGTTTCTAGGAGATTCATTTTCCATTAGATTAAATGTGGTGGAAACCTGGTGTGTAGTTAATATGATCATTATTATGTCTGAAAAGCTTCAACTATTTTTGACAGACTTATTGTAAATGTATAATACAGATAACATGGAATATAGACTTTTACCTATTTTATGAAGGTTCAAGTTGTAAGCAGGGAGTCAAAGCCTCGCTTTTCTCTCTCCCATAGCTTAGAAACAGTTTTGGACTCGAGTGTTCCTGAACTGGGCTCATTTATTTTTGGGAATTTTATGTTTATGTTTGAGTGTTTTTAACAGATTCATCCTTGTTTCTCTTGCCTCAAGGTGTCTGAGAATGTTTGCACAACTTCTCATATCTTGCATTCACCACCTGGCGCCATGACTGAAATAGTGACAATGTGCACTCATATTTTAATACTCCCCACCGTCGGCTCACGCCGCCTCATTATTAAAAAGATAAGCTCCAAGACAAATAAATACACAGCTGCATTTGTTATTTGCCAAAATGGCCCATGTTTGAAGTTAACGGCAACACACTAACTTATTTGCTTTTTGTTTTTATTTATGTAAAAAAAAATCT